CGGTAGGAAGCAGGACGCTGACACCAGCTCCGTCAGACACTACGTGCCGGGGCGCACACTGCTATGCCGCGGCCGTGCCCGCAGATACAGGGAGAGGCGCAGGAAACACGGGGTTGCTGATGGAGGTGCCGCGGGTCTGAGACCCTGGCGAAGCCTGGGCAGAGAGTCTGCCCCTTCCGTACCCCAACGGTAACCCGGGCGCTTTGGGAAATCTTAGAGCAGGCTTCTTTCAATCCCTGATGACAATCAATTAGCCCAGGGAAGCAGAGAGAGTGATACGTTTTCAAGGCAAATCTGCAAATCCAATCTCACCCAACACAGTCAAACTGCATTAAATCGCTTTTTAACTCCCTGCAGGCACCGCCAGAAACCGGCGTGTCCTTATAAGCCCCCAAAGCATCACCTGCGAGAAGCAAGGGAGTAGATAAATGCTGGTCACCATTTCTCAGTTCTCTGTTGCTTTTCAATCAAGAAAAAGCTCTTTTACCGAGGAATGATTTTTTTCAAACCTCTCACTCCCATCCCTGAGTCACAACCAGATGTTTCGGCCCAGCTTGCCTTGAGGACTCTGCTAAATGAAGCCGTGCTGGAGTGAAAGCCACTGCTTTGGGTACGCCTCCATCAAAGCGAAACCGGAGGGTTTTGCAGCGAGGGTAAGCCCTCACACCGCAAGTGCTAAGCGCTCTGTCCAGTAGGACATTTAGGGTGTCGTCCTCCCACTTTCATGCTTTATTGCTATGCTGTGGCTGTATTTAAAAGGGCAGAATGAAACCCTCGGCCTCAGAAATCCCGCTGCAGAGGGCGACGGCCCCCCGCCATGGCTAGCCACGCCAAATAAGACAAAATATGCCAAACAAACAAAACCAAAAGTAACAAACTGGAAAACAAAACATAAATCAAGCCAATAATTTAAAATAACGAAACATCAGAAAGGAAATCATAATAATAAAATAATACTGATATAAAAAGTGACTCCTTCCAGAACATTCCCAGTCTGTTTACCTACCTTCCACGCTTCAACTGCTAACTTATAAGACTTTCTTACGAGAGAACAAGAGAAACTGAGCTACGAGGCCAGACCAAGCTCCTGGTGGGTTTCTGCACATGACTGGCTTTTAAAATGCCACCCTGCCCCGCTGCCAGCTCCCCGGACCGAGCCACTCCCCCGCTGCCAGCAGAGCCCTAGCTATTGCAGTAACGGCAATTTTGGACCCCAATCCATTCTCTCACGCTAAGCTGCCTGTGCAGAGAGCAGAGCGGCAGACCCCCACTAAGGGATCTCCTTCCCCCCATTGCTCTGACCCCCGCAGCATCAACATCTCCGGAACGGAGGTGCGCTGCTCCTTCCCACGCCCCAGAAGCAACTCAAGTCCCTTTCAGGGTACGGAGGAAAAGCTCAGCCCTCTTCCAGCACTGCCACGATGCCGTTCGCATCTCTTTTCTCCCCATCAGGGGCCGGCAGCGTTAAAGCCACCTTTCCTGCTTAGCAGTCCAGCCAAAGCCACCACGGCTGAGAAACCCACTGCAGAGAGGGTCTGACCTGACCTACCCTTTCCATCCTGAAACTCATTCTGAAAGCCCCAGCGAGCAGAGCCGCAGCTCCAGCTGGCGCCTGGGCTCACTGCTGGCACCGGGGCTGCTGCGCGTGGTCGGGCTCGCTCGCTCACTCACCCGCTACGCTCCAGCACAGGGACCTACCGGGAGGCCCTGGAGTGAGGCCACCTTTTGGGATGGTTTGCGCTTTCTCTGGTCAAAAAGGCAGGGTGGGGGGATGGGTGGGTGATGGGGAAGAAAGCCCAGATCCCACCCGGCCCCCGGCCCCGTCACTCTCATCGACTACAGCACCTGGATGAAAACAGCCACCAAGTGCTGGCTGGCCATAGTGGAGACGCGTCGGGGGAGTTGATGGCACTGGGAGTTTCCTTCACAATCCAGCCCACCCTGCGTGACCCTGGAGACGCGCATGCGCGCGGGGGGACAGCACCGAGGAGGTGGGAGCTGTGTGCAGGAGGCAAAGCACCCCAGCCCAAACGGGAGGCTGCGAGCCCACCTCTGCAACAAGCCCCTTTGCTGGAGAGGCAGCCACAGCCCGGGCGAGAGCCCCCCAGCCAGGAGATCATCACCTTTGTCTGCCGGCCTGTTTTTACCCGGTAGACAGCTCTTTGGGAACCCCTGCCCGCCCTCCCACGGGCTCCAGGACATACAGGAGTGTGTGCAGATCCACGCACGCGTGCGTGAGCCTGCAGCGACAGGGTGGACTGTATTTGTGAATCCGCTTGAGACCAGCCAGTACTCACCTGAACTGCATCTTTTACATGCCTTAAAGTTGACTGTCCAAGCCACAAGAATGACCCTTACTGACCTTGTACAATACAATGTTTTTTAACCCTTTAGGTACCATAGACTTTGTATACGTTTCGTTCACTCCATATACTGTGAGGAAGGGGGAAGGGAAGGAGAGCAGAGCTAACGGCTGGGGGAAAACATCCTTTCTCAGGAAGGAACGGAGGGTAAGAAAGCCCCGTCGTTCCTCTACACCTGCACATGCAGCCTCACAGCACCCGCCCTGCCACCCCTGTCTGTCGCCACATGCTTTGCACTCCGAAATTTCCAAGTAGGAGAGTTGCCAAGGAGCCCTGGGAAGGTCATGGCTAGTTAGAAAGGGCGCACCAGCTTCCTCCAACCATGAGATTCCGTTATTTTTTGTACAGTCTACGTCTCTGGTACTTGAAGAGTTAAAACCCAGCTACTTCAAGAAGAAAAAGATACTTTACCTTTAGTTTAATGGATTTTACTTTGGTTATGATGCTCAGGAGGAGCCACCCTGACAGGGAGGTGGAGGGTGTTGTGCAGCAAGGTGTGCAATGCGGGGAGGGCTGCGGCATGCAGGCAAATGCTTGCCAGCTGAGCTGGGAGGGGGAGAGCACCCAACACCGCGGCAGGACGAAGGAGGTTTTTGCCGTTGCAGAGCCAAGATGCCATCGTGGTGTGAAACCGCCCAGCGAGAGACAGACAGAGAGCAGGGAGCTGGTTTCATCTGGCTGCGAGAGCATGCAGGCAGGCAGGCAGAGAGCGGAAGAGAAAAGAAAGAAGAGGCATGGAGCGGGCCAGGGAGGAGCTGAACGGAAAAGGAGCTGCAGAGGGAAGACACAAAAGCCTGTCCCGAGCCAGAAGGTCTGTGAGCCGAAGGATGTCGCCCGGACCGGGGAGAATTGACTCGTTCCTCCAACAGCCAGCCAGGAAAAAATGTTTCACCGTGTTCCAGGACACTGACAGCTCCCAGCTGATGTTCTCGAGAGCGTTAAATTAATGAAACTATCCCTATGAAAGCTGAGCTACACAGAAATGAACCAGGCCTCATTCTGGGCAGGTGCCAAGTTAGAAAAAGCCCCAAAGCCTTCCCCTTTCCCAGATCCCCTTCTCTTCACTCTTGAGGGAAAAATTTTCAGTGTCACTAAGCCCTACTGCCATCAGCTCCCACCCCCCTCTTCCAGCCTGTTTTTATTGAACCAGAAAGCCCAAATCCCAGACCCTCTTTTCCTCCCATCCCCACGAATCTCAGAGGGAAACTCGTTGTAAAACAGAAGCAGAGTGTGGGTAAGTTTGACACTTATTTTTCAGGTCCTTTCAGTTCATCTTCACCCACCCCACAGCGATGCTCCCTCTGACAGTACCATACTGGGATCAGAACCAGCAGATCTGCAGCAGAGTCAGGATAGGATTTTCTTTCGATACATAGAGAGAGTAAGAGAAAAAAATAAAAGGAAAAAAGGGGAAAAACATTTGAAGGAAAGACGAAAACAAAATATCTTTGAATGGACTGGAGGCCTGAGAAAGCCCCAGTAAGGAATTCTGTCTATGCAGAAAGAGAGTCCCCTTTCCTTCCTCTCCTGGGGGGGAGAGAAAGAGGAGAGAGACGGGGGAAATAGAGAGAGAGACAGCAGGACGTGACAATTAAAACGGAAAGATGGGGCAGGCGCCCAGCTGAGAGCCCGTTGCTCTCCCTTGTTAAGGACTCTGAGAGATGGGAGCAGGCGCTCGCTCTCCTCACACTGGTGACCAGAGCCATTTCTGAGTTAGTTCTGCTCCCGGCTACTCCAAACTGCAGCGGAGTGATTTAGTAGAGATGAGAGGAGACAGAAAACACAAAGAACAGCTGCCACAGCCACTCATGCAGTGAAAAAACACCTCATTTAAAAGCAAAGATCTGTGAAAAGCCCGGGTTGAAATATTGCCATCCAGGGTTATTGTCCCCAGGGCAACAGCGAAGGGAGACAATCCATTAAACTAAAACCAGCACATTTTGGTTGCATACGCTCCATCCTGGTGTCATTAATTTCCCCCCCTCCCCTGCCTCCACATGACTCCTTTCTCCCGCTCTGCCGGAGCCCAAACGGGACTGTTCGCGGGGCCAGCGGGCCTTCATCCCCACGGCTATGAAGTCGCTCTTGGAAAAGAGCATGAGGACTGCTTTCCCAAAAGCTGGTGGAAACCTTGGACTTTTGATTGATCGCCTTCCCTTCTCCTCTTCCTCCCGATTCCCCCGCTGCCTCCCTGCTCCGTTGCTTGTTGCCCCCCTTCCGGACCGCTGCTGCTCAGTTTCTGCCGGTGGACCGGCAAGCGGCTGCATGACGGTGGGGTGCCGTCCTCCCTGAGCATGCTCAGCACCAAGGGCCAGCGCGGCCCGTCAACGAGCTCTTCACTGGTCCCCATCCCATCAAGTGGATGGTGCTAACTGGCCTCCCACCCACCACCCCCTCCAGCATGCACCGGCCCCACTCTTCCTCCACATCTCAGCTATCTGGGGCAGCAAAGGGAGAAGGCAGCAGGTCCCAGGTGTCCCCCGCCACTGCCCGCCTCCCTGCAGAGGAACCCCAGACGGGTGAAACGCCGCAGCACCGCCACCGTCTGCCCCACAGCTCCGTACCCCTGTGCCCACCATCTCTGGCTCCCTGACTGTCTTCCCCTCAGAGAAGGGTGGGAAAAGGAGAGACACCTACTAGACTGCAAGGTGCGCTCTCTGACCTCCGGGGTGAAGGCCCCCAGGCCCAGAGCCGAGCGGGCAGCCAGCCGGAAGACATACTCAGTGTTGGGCTTCAGGCCTTCCAAAGTGAAGGAGGTCGTTGGCTCGAAGTTCTTCGGCACCTGAGGTGGGCGAGGGGGAAGAAAAAAATAAAACCAAACAAAAAGGAGCACAGGCGAGCCCTGCCCAGAGACACCTGCCCTACTCCCCGCTCTCAGCCACCTCGGGGAACGGAGGGTCGGGATGCTCCTCGGGGCCCCAACCCTTTGTGCTGTTCCTCTCCGCACTCACCTCTCTGCCGTGGTCTCCTTCCTTATAGAGGAGCTCATACTTCACTATGATCTCCTGGCGGGGAGGGCTCCATGACAACACGATGCTCGTCTCCGTCTTGGCTTCTGCTCGGAAGTTCATCGGCTGCCCAGGAACTGACACAGAGAAGGAGCCAATGGGGCAGAGGAGGCAAGATGAGAGATGGGAGAAACCACATTAATTTGGTGAATTAGAAGACTTGTGCCCTGTTTTCTTCAAAGCCTGTGTGTGAAAAGCATGTCAGCAGCAAAATGCCACCCTGCAGAGCGGGCAGACCCTTCCTTTAAAGCAGCGGAGGGTTAAATCCCACTGCAGGACTCGAGCACATCCAAAGCTGCTGGAGATGGAAGAGCCCTACTGGATCATATGCCTCTTTTTTGGCAGTGCAGGATACAGCCCTTCCCACCAATCCCCAGTATTAAAAGATTCTGGAAGTGGGAAGCCCATGAGCAGCCCCGTTGAGGACACAGGGTTTCCTCAGCAGCACCCTACGCCATAAGCAGAGCACCCGAAAGCATGCTGGGTGACAACCTGCGATAAACCACCTTTTTTTCTCAGCTCAACACATCTGCTGTGACAAGTAGGGCTTTGGTCTGCTCCCCTTTTAGAAGAAGGCAAAATAAGGCTCATTCCCACTCATGTCTGAGAAGGTAGTTTCTGGGTACTTTGAGAAGAGTTAAGCTTCACCATTGCCTGGGCAGCGAGTATTTTTAGGTCTATTAAAGACATTTAGAAACTGGAAGCAATAAGATACCTCACTTTGAAACACGGCACAGCAGAAATGGATTCTCTTTGCATAATTGCTTGCCTCACCCATTTAAGCAACAACCTTTCCGAGAAAAAACAGGTCAGAAATCCCGCACCAGGCCCTCTGGCTCCAGCCACTGGACCGAGCTTCCTCATGGGAAATGATTTCTATTTTAACCATATCAAACCAACAAAGAAATAAATGCTCTGGTGACACGGCAGCCACAGCTGGATAATGCTATAAGCCAACACCTCTCCCTCCCGCAGCCCAGTGCATCAAAGGTAGTGACGCAGGGGCTCACCTCCTTGCTGCGTCTTAACCTGGATGGGGTCGGACAGAGGCCCGTCTCCCACGGAGGTGAAGGCCAGGACCCGGACTGTGTAGGTTTCGTCCTCGAGAAGGCTGCCCACCGTGGTCAGGAGGCTGTCGTCCACGTTGTGCTTCTGCCAGTTGCTGACAGGTTGGTCGGGCTCCATGGTATAATACACACGATAGCCACGGATCTGCCCGTTGGGCTCCACCGGTTCCTCCCACTGGATGATCATGGTGGTGCTGCTCAGCATTCGTCCCTGCACATTACGGGGGGCACTGGCAGGAGCTTGTTCCCCAGTGCGAGTAACCACTGACTCGCTGGGAGGCCCTTGCCCGATGCTGTTGACTGCAGAGACCCAGATCTCATACTCAGAGTTGGGGCTGAGGCCCCCAATGCTGTAGCGTGTGGTGGTGATGTCCTCTTTGATCTGATACGGTCCATCTTGGCTTTTAGACTTGTATTCAATGACATAGTAGGACACAGGGTCTGGATTTCCAGAGTCCCAGGTGATGGTGATACTTGTTGCTGTCGTCTCTGTCACCACCGGCGTCCCAGGAGCCTTGGGGAGTGCTGAGAATCAGGAAGAACAGACATTTTAAAAAAACCCACATATGCTGAAATGGTGCCTAATTGGGCTAGTTAGGGCTGCAGGAGCCAGAGGCACAGTACCAATCACAGTGCGGCAGTTCAGTAAAGTGCTGCTGAAATATTATGAACCTAGTTATCCACTCTATTATCCTCCTTAAACTGCTCCATCAAAAGGAAAGTGTTCAGCTAAACATCTGGAATCATTAGCACAGATTTCAGCTGCACATCCGCCGGCTCACGCGGCAGTAAGAAAAAAGCAGTTTCGCAGAAGCTCCTTCCGAGCACGTAATCAGATCTTCTGAAACGGCGCTGGCAGCCCGGCTCCGGCACTGCCGAAGCTCTCCGTGCTTAGCGTGCAGGTAACAGTATAGTGCAGACTGCGCTCTCCAGAACTAGAAAACTACAAATACTTGGAGTGCTTCCTCTCAAGACGCAAACGTGTTCATACTCATCTCCCCTGTCCCTCACCCAGAAGACTGCCTTTGGAGCCTGCTGGAGACCGCCCGCTCCATGTCAGACACCGCTAACAGCAAGCTGTACGTGTTCTCCTCGCTCCACGCTCTAGACCCTTTCCAACCCTATTCTCTAGACCTGAGCACCTCTACAGCTCTAACTTCTCCTTTCATCTTCTGCCTGGGAAAGACTGCAGATGCTTACACGCAGGAACATAAGGGGGAATAGAATGCAAATAAAATGACAAAAGGCAGAAGGTACCAGTAGGGCGAGATTCCCCATCGGAGGAGACAGGATAGTTGGAAGTAGAAGCAATGTATCTTACACAGCAGCTTTTTAAATTGATAGTATAAGACAGGGAAAAAGGAGAAGGAAGAAAATATTCAGCACAATAAAGAACGCCTCAGTCCAGCCTCAGGCATCCTTCTAACACATGAGCCCACTCCCTGTGCAAAAGCTCAGGATGAGTGTCATGTCCAGATTCACCAGTCCCTACTCGTTTCTATTGCCAGACCTTTCTTAGTTGGACGCACTGATACAACAGGATTGGTTTTCTTTAGCCCTCCCCTTCTCCAAAGTATTTCTCCTCCTCTCCCCCACCCACCCCACTCCTTTCCCACCCCCTCTCCCCCCGGACCCCTCGTGGGCAACGCCGTCACTCAGAGCAGACACCAGCTCATACAGAGAGCTCTACACTCACCCAACCACAGGGGCATCCCGCTTGGGTTTTAATACTCCCCTGCTGAGGACAGAATAGATTGAAGATTGCACCCGTGCTCCTCTTGGGAATTTCTAGCTGGAAGCTGGGGTTATTCCCCCTCTTGCTGAGGCAACAACGGCCACTAAGATGCTGGAACTAGGGTCTACTGCAAGGGCACACATGCCAGAGATCCTCAGGGCCTTGGCTGAATCTCTAACCTTGGAACAGGATGGCATGCAGGCTTCACGCCACCCAAGGCTCCTTGCGAACTGCCCAGCCAGCCTCACATCCCAGGACAGAAACATGCATGCAGGGGGCGGAATCGCAGTTCCTTTCATAACAAACAGCTCAGTTGTCCTAAAGCCAGGAAAGATCTCAAGCCACCAGCTTCCCCTTCGCTGTGGATTTCCTTGTGCGTGGGATCCCCAAAGACGCATGCACAGATCCCAGCACGTGGCACTCGCCGTGCACGAGTTTGTCTTCCTGCTCATGCTCACATACCTACGCATGTACATCCAGGCTGGGCACAACACGGACTTACACACATGCAGTCAGGCACCACATGCCCATACAGCCACGTTGCTCCTTCTCCCGTGCACACACACTCATGCACGACTACCTTTTTACATGCATAATTGTGTCCCCACGCTCCTCACGTGCAGATCAGTCACGGGTTCACCCCATGCAGACACACAGAGACACAAGCAGGAACAGGTACCCACAGTCGCACAGTGACATCCCCACTCATGCACCGGTGACGGCTGACAGACACGACCACGTTTCCACAAGCGCTCACATGCACAAACGTGACACGTGCCCACATTTGCTTTGCACACATGCTCAGACGCGCTGTTGCTGCGCGTACAACACGTGCCTTGCGCATATATACACCCGTGCAGCAGCTCACACGCTTGTGCATGCGCGCCCCTACAAACATGCACATCGGGGAACCCACGCACTCGCTCACGCAGGCGTGCTCACACTCTCTTACATTTCACCGTGATCTGAGCAACGGCTTCTATGACTCCCAGACTGGACATGGCCACACACGTGTAGTTGGCTGAGTCCTTGACATCCGTGAGCTCCAAGACATTGCGGCCCACAGGCATGTCATCTTCAGGCGTCAGGTCCTCTGCTCCCTGCATCCACTTGACGTATGGCATGGGCGAACCCACGGCCACGCAGGTGATGTTGACGTTGCCACCGGGCATGATTTCATGGCTGACGGGTAAGATGGAGAAGCGAGGGGCCACACGGCGAACTGTGGACGAGACGCACAGAGGTAACAAAAAAAACAAAACAAAAAAACAAAACAAAACAGAAAAGAAAGAAAGAAAGAAAGAAAGAAAAGAAAAGAAGGGAGAAAAAGAAAAAAGAGCAAAAGATAATTTAAATATAGATGGGGTTTGTCATCATTTATTTTCTTCCTTCATTAAGAACAAAACAAAAAACAAATAAATTAAAAAATCAAAAACCAAAACCAAAAAAATTAAACTCCAAATAAATTTTTACTTCACAAACAATATATAGAATATAGACATAAAAGCGATATTTCATAGCAACAGGGTTCCATTGATCAAGATTAGACCCATCACAGCACAGATAAATACACAAAAATTTATTAGCAATTTCTCATCTTTACTGGCAAGAGCTGGCATGGCGAGCGTCGAAAAATCTCCTCCACAGCCGCTGGGGCCCCCAGCTCCCCGCTCCGCGCCCCGGGAAACCTGCTCCTCCCCTTTTCCAGTGGAGTCCCACTCCCGTATCACCTTCTCCCATGGCAAAACGCAACAACCCCTCCACCGCCACGGCCTGAAATGGTCCAGGTGCCTCCTCCATCTCCGGAGAGGGGCCCTCTCCCAGCGGCCGCTCCGCGCCCGAGGGATGCTGCAGAGGTGGGGCGGTGGCGAGGAGAAGGCTGGGATGGAGAGGGAAACTTCTCAGGATTTTTGCCTTGTTGGACCCCGAGAATTCAACAAAGAGAGAAGTATCACATCCCCAAACGCCAGAGAGACGCCACTTGAAAAGTAAAGAGGCAAAAATATAAAAAAGGAAGGAGAGGGAGTCCCCGGAGCGGGACAGAATTTAGTTAGTGTCTGCGTGTGAGAGCCGTCCAGGGGGAGGCAGTCCCCCTGGAGCGAGAAAGAGGAAAGAGTGTGGAAAAGATGAGAAACTTTAATGAAATTTTTGTGGTTTTCGGGTATAGAAACCCTAACAAAGCCTCTTTAAGATCTGACACGGTTCCATCGATAGATGCAGCTCTCAGAGTCACAAACATCATGCAAAATAGGTAAAAAAGAGAGAGAGAAAAAGATAGAAAGAGAGAGGAAAATGCAGAGAGAGATAATTTATGGGCGGCTAGCAAATGCCCACATGGATACTGAATAGAAAGAGAGCGACAGAGAAAGAAAGGAAGACAAGGAGAAGGAGAACAAGGAGGGGAAGGGAGAAAGAAGAGAGAGAAAGAGAGGGAGGGGAGGGGGAAACCCACTTTAATGCTGCATACTTTTTCTAGCTGATGTGACCCAATGTGGTGGCTCACATTGTCACATCTCAGCCCTGGCGGAATAATAAATAGAATAGAATTAATAAGAAAAACAAGGTAATGAAACTTTAACGTTGAGAAAACAGTGACATGTTCTGTGCATCTCCTTAGCAGAGAGGTGGATGCAGCTTCCAGACCTTACACGATAAGAACATGGACGCAAAGGGGAGGGTGCGGTTTCCTTGGCTCCATTTTCTGAACTAACTGGGCGGGCTGGCCGCGGTGGGCGCTCTTCCTTAGGGGTGAAAGCAGGAGAACGGACAAAGGAGAAAGGTAAGTGGACGAGAGGGGCCCTAGGGAGGAAGCTGAGGGCAGAGTCCCATCCCGCAAGCACAGACAAAAGGATACAGCCCCTGAGAAGTCACGGGCGCAGCAGCCTAAGGAGAAAAGGAGTGCGGGATTCCTCCAGCTTCAGAGACAGCCATGCAGCAAACTCCCCCCAGGTGGGGCGAGCGAGGGGGCAGGAGCGTTAGGAGCCTGAAAAATATCTGTCCCTGCTGTCCTATTCCCAGGTAACCCCTCTGAACAACCTCTCCAAAAAATCAGTAGCAACTGCATCCATGCAAAAGCAATGCAAAGGACATCAGAGCTTAGCTTCAGATGTCCCCCGGACCTGATGTCCTGGGTTTTTCTAGTATTTAGCTTCCAGCCCACTTCCCTGGCTGCCGCTCAACATCACAGCTCTTTTCAGACAGGAAGCGCGCTGCCAGGAGAGGCAGTGGCTGTTTTCCATTTAGTGGGGCTTTGGTTGAACAAAAGCCAAAGCTAGCCTGTGCCTCCTCCTGCAAGCTGACAAGGAGATGTCTTCATAGAAAGGTGCGCTCTCCCCATCGTGCTATCAGATCCCTTTCTGCGCGGTTACCAGTACCCAGGAACCAGTAGCGAGAGGCAAGGAAGAGAAGACTTCCAGATGTGCAGCGTCAGGAGCTCAGAGATGTCAGAGGAGAATTCCCGCATGCGGGGGTTTGCGAAGAGAATGGATGGCATGCCCTCACCTCCGACGCAGCTGGGGAAAGGAGTGGAGTGTGGAAGGACAGACTGCAAACTCACCTGGACACTAACCCTAGAAGATGCCTTTCTGCATAGAGAAAGGCGTAAGGGGAGTACCACGGTATTTGCACAACCTCAGGCACCAGCACTGGCCCAAGAGAGCAGGCAACGTGCTCCTTGCTCCCTCCTGTCACACCGCTACGGAAGACGTTTAGCCCTAGACGTGAGGGTACGTCCCCGCTGCCTACTCCATCCTTCTTTCCACTGTCTGCTTCAGGAGGTACCACACTTCAGAAAATGGAGCCATGTGAAGACCACCCCGGTCACAATCTGAGACAAGATGGAGAGAACTTGAAAAGAAACAAGTGGGGTCAACATGCAGAGAGATCTGGGGTGGGGATGACTCTTTTGAGGAGGGGCTGATATGTAACCTTCTGGAGAGGGGAGGCAAGGTGGGAAGAGGTGAGGAGAAATGGGGAGACATATGCCGGACAAGATCCGGTCAGCAAACAGCATCAACAGCAACAAACAACGGCAGGTGGGATGCAAACACTGAGTTGTCATGGAAACAGAACAAGACAATTCAAACCGAGGCTAATCACAAAGAAATAAAACCAAACTAAAAGAGAAAGAAGAAAAGAAAAAGAAATTTAAAAAAAAAAAAAAAGGAAGAACAAACCAGAATCGAATAACTAAAAAGCATCATTTGATGTATGGTGGAGCGCTGAGAATCGGAGTCTGAAGGGAACAGACTGCTGCCGTCTGCGTGGTTTCGGGCAGGGAAGGGAGGAGAGCCACTCACAAAACACAAGCCGGGGGCGCCGGAGCCGGAGCCGTGCCCAGCACGCCCGCCAGCAACTGCGAAGCAATTCTCCCCACCCTCCTCGCAGCACCCAGGGGTTCAGGGCAGCTTCGCGGGGTCTCAGGGCAGCATTCCTTTTCAGCTGTTTTAATGGCATTTGTCCCACTTGACTAATGGGAAGCAACCAGCACATCTGGATTCTGGACGCCAGCCCAAAACGACGCGCGTTCTGCGCAAAGGGAGAATGTGGCTCGGGGTTAGCGGCAGGCCAACGCACGGCCAACACAGGCAATCACCCTTCTGTTGTGCATCCTGGTTTAAAAAAAGCTACACACTCCCGTGTGTGCACAAATACACAAACATCCACACACCAGTCTAGGACGTGAAAACAACTCCCACATTAAATGCTGGAGACCTCCGAGAGTCCCTAGATACATCCCTGCAACGGCTCAGGGCTGTGACAGCCGCATTTACTGTAACGGGCAATACTGATAGGGCTCGTCTCTGGATACCAAGAACCATCACGCTGCTGTTTATTTTAATTGCTATACCACTCTGATGTGGCTGTTGACATGAGATTTGTCAAGCTGAGAATCTCTGGGTCAGCGTTTAGGTCAGGGCCTAGGAGGAGGAGAGCAGTGGTGGGAAGAAAGCTTGAAGTGCAGCCAGAGATTGGATCAAGAACAATTTCAGCTCTGGGTCCAGCTGGGTGTCACACACAGCAGCCGAAAGAGTGAAATTTTACACGTGAAAAAATGCGGTGAAGAGATTCCTTCCATTTTGCTACCAAACCCATTCGAAGGACCGGAAAGAAGAACTGCCCTCTCTGGAAAGGAACTGTTGGGATGGGGCAGTCAGGGTGCTACTTTATAGCCACTTATCTAATACTTTTACCAATTTCTGGTTTCAAGAAGCACCTTCCCCGAGTTTCAGGGATGTTGGTTTCCATGACAGCTTTGTCAGACCTGTGTTACGAAGCCAACCTTGCATGCATACGCAGACGCGCGTGCTCCATGTGCATGTGCAGCATCTCCCGACATACGCACACAAGCAGGCACGCACAAACACGCATTTTCAACGGCCAAAAAAAACTCTCAGGAGCTTTTTTCAAACAAGGATACAGCCTGTTACTAAAGAACCAGATTTTAGAACTGGAGCTGGACATCTGTGATGCAGGTCAAATTACTTCAAGGCAGAGAAGCCATTTCTGAGGCGTAGAAAGATTTAAGTGCAGTTAGTTATGAGTCTGTTCGGTATTGTCTGTTGTCTGTATTTCACATGGGCAAATTCTGCTCAACATAACTTTCATTAGAAACTGTACAGATCCATAACTTTTCACACCCTCATAAAGCCAATTGGTTTTGTTGCCGAGAGGTTAACCCAGTTTGTGTTCTGTGAGTGGCATTTTCGGTGCATTATTCTTTCCAACAAGAAGGTACCAATCGACATCGCTAAGGTTCCCCACCACCACCACTCAGTTAAAAAGAGAGCTGGGGTCCGCAAGGTGAGAGATGTCTTTGAAAGAGACAGATTTACAGACCTGACCGGAAGAGACACTGGGAGATCCAGGGTTTACTTTTGCAACACCAGAATCCATCCTTAAAATGTGTTCCCAGGACGCTGCTAGTGAGAGAAATCTGAGGACCAACCAACCAGTTTGCGCTGAGGAAACCCACCGGTTCCACTTTTTAAGCCCCTTCCAGATTAGCTCAGGGAGAAACATGTTGGAGGAGGAGCGAGGTGGGGAAAGGAGAGCGTGCTAGACAAGAACCCGTCACTTCAAACCCCGATTCACATTAAACCAACTAAAAGATAAACATATGTCATATCTTAAAGGAGAAATTAATTGAAAAAGGGAACAAAAGAAAGTGAAGTGACTGGTTGAAAGCACCAAACAAAACCAAATGGTATTAAACATTTTGAC